AGAGAGAGAGAGAGAGAGAGAGAGAGAATGCGAGTGAGTGAAAAACACATATCCGCATCTGTTGCAATTGCTCTTCCTCTTTCTCTATCTCGTTCTCACTCTTCGTTCTGCCTCGGGCGAGCTTTCCTAATGAACTGTGTAATAACGTCGAGACACCCTGCATTTCTCTGCCCTCTTCGATGAGATTCTTTTTTTTCCCTCTTTCAGTTTCTCTTTCATTTTTTACTTTACTTTCTTCTAGTCTTCGTTGACGCTCATATTTTTTGCTTTTCTATTCCGTGCTCGATACGTTGCCTTACCTTTTCGTACTCGTTGACACCGCACTCAATCTACGCGTATTTCTGACTTTTTTTAGTTTAGTATGCATATCTGCATAAATCTATGCTTTCAGCATATTTTCTGCTTTAAATTACTTCCTCGTTTATTTACAAATTTAAAGATAAACATAATACTTTCAATTTTATAATAACAAATATTGTTCAAAAAATCTAATGATAATTAATACCATGTCATAGCCAATACATTTTCTAAAATTTCGTCACCATATGCATTATAATATATATTTAATTTTATATATTAATATTAAACTTCATTCGCATGATATCTTAATTAATTATTATCTAACAATAAATAATGATATCCTATTCATAATGTAATTATAATTCTACCCTTTTTCATTATATCTAATTATATGCTCCGTATTTTTATTTATATCGTTTATTACACTCTTAATGAGTGAGACAATAAATTTATACACTGTTATTATATTTATATTTATAAACATTTTTAAGATTTATAATATTATCGAGCTATCACTACCAACTGTTTCTCAAAGATTGTATAATACACTATGAATTATTATTCTTGATTGAAATATGTTTTAATAATATAGTTGTATACAATATACGTAACAAATTTTCAAGAATTGCACGAATAATTTGAATACTTTTTTAGTAAATGTAAGTATTATCTTAACATTACAATCATTTCAACTAGCTTTCAGTAAAATACAATACTTATAATAGAATCAATTCGATTTTTCTAAACACAGAAATTTCATCTACATTTAATTCTGTCCACGATTGATTTTTCAAACTTAACAAACTGGAGATCATTATCTTATCCAATAATTTCTGCTAGGCATGAAATAGTATCAATCGTTAATGCAATTTAGTATCCAGTTCATAATTCTGACAGAAACATCATTATTTTCCAATGACGATTTATACGCACATCTTACTCTTGTCATGTAGTGCATTCACGGGTAGCAAAGTGTGTCTTTTCGCATTGCGTGCACACGATGTGCAACAGCATCTTATGCGCTCCACCGGTAATTGCAAAAGCGCGTAATCCACGAGTTAATTTTATACGCGACAACACGCCAATTGCAACGAGCGATGAACAAGAGAGACAGAGACAGATGGTCATAGGATGAGATTGCGAGGGGTGGGGTGTGGTGGGGTTATCGTTGCCACTGCGTATCGCACAACACCAAGGCACGAGTAAATGGAGAGTGGAGACGTCGAAAAATCTGCTAAATTGAGTGCAGTGATAATTCGGTATACGCTTGAAATGAATATTTGTAAGGATAATTAATCGTCATAGCTTTCCTGTCTGAAAATTAACATTCTTAATCGGAATATTTATGTAGATCACATGTGATCCACAACTTTTAGCAAATTGTGTTATACTGTTATTGCAGAGGGAAACTATCTCGACATCGTTATTTTTAATCTTTTGAACGGTAAAATATTTACTGCGGAAAAAAATTAATGCTTACATATTTAATAAAACCGCCATTAGTACTTTTCATTAAAAAATACAAAAATCTTGTATATTTGTACACACACACACGCGCGCGCGCGCATATATATATATATATATATATATATATATATATGTGTGTGTGTGTGTGTGCGCGCGTGTGCGTGTGCGTGTGTATCTGTATATTGTTTTTGGAATGGGAATAGACGGCTGGAAGAAGAAAATATGCTTCGGGCTTGGATAGTGTAGGAGGATAATTCGAAACTTCGTATGTAAACGCGAGTATTGTGACTGTTAATGTTGAATCAAGTTTAGGAATGAGAATGTCTTGGGTAAGAAAATGATGTCTTTATAAAGCATAATTTGTATCTTGAGTCATGCGTGAAAGGACATACATCACATTGCCAGACTCTTTCTTTACTTTTTTGCTTTTTCCATCGTAGAACAACGAGGACTGCGGTGCGCCTTATTATTATTTGATGCATTTTGAAAAATCTTCGGAATGATATCGGCATCATCGATTTTGCGTCGATAACGGACAGTCGATATTCGTGCTTTCAGAAATCGATGCCAATTATAGGAAATGGCAATATTTTACGTTTAGCTATTATTTTTTTACATGCCGCCTATTTTAGTCCTTTTACAAGTTAGGATCTTTCTTTTTCTTTTTTTTCTTATGTTTTTTTTTTTTTTTAGAAGTATTCAAGCTATACATTGTAATAACTGCTTAGTAGTGACGTTGATTGAGGTTCGATAAGTAGTTACTTGAAATATGACTAAAAAAAATGTTTATTTAATTTTAATTTACAAAATATTTTATTGATAAATGCACACATATTTATATTAACACATATGCATATTAATGCTTGCGCATTACATTAATTTTGATTTATTTGGTGATAATGTTTAAAATAAATTCTTATATGCTGCTTATAAAAATTAAATTACCGTTATTTAATATTTCATTTGAGATAAACTATAATTAGAATAATTATCGGTATCCGTATTTAACGAGATAGCGAATGGTTAATTAGAACAATAACGGATATATTAAAACTAATTATTTACTCAAATCCAATTCATACACATACATTTATTGTGTTATTCTCTCTATTATATTTACAAAGAATCAATAATTTCAGAATTTGTAAACTTTTATATTTACTAAAACATAATGCATACGATGCTGGTTTTGAAGCAGTGTAATAAAAGTCCTACGAACGCGATCTATAATCTATATTTCTATATTATGAATATCTATATATGTGTGTGATTGTGCGTGTCTCTTTTCGTTAGGCATTAGCGTAGTGTATGTTAATTTATAGCAATGGCTTATCAGTAAATGACAAACAATAAATAGTTAAAAATGAATGTAAAAAAAAATTTTTCACCAAATACTCTCAGTGAATCTTTAAATTAGGTTTTTATTTAACAATTAATCGAATGTAGTATTTGAATGAATTACTATGCAATAATATAATATATTCGTATCTCGACATTATCTTCTTCAACTTTTTACAAATTGTTTATAAAATTAATAAAAAAAAATGAATTAAAAAATATATGCCAATATTCCCAGTAATGACTGATATTGAAAATGTCGATTATTTCAAGAAATATTGTTACCTTTTGTCATAAATAATATTTCGTGCTGTGTCATCTAAAACTTAACGCTCCCTGTCTTTTTATCGTTGATGTATTTCTGAAGAAGAAGAAGAAGAAGAAGAAGAAGAAGAAGAAGAAGAAGAAGAACATGCGCGCGCGTGTCTGTGTGTCCGATGATACAAATATGAATTCTAATTGCCACTGCTTTGAATTTAGCGGAATGGAATAATTGTCATTAAAATAAGATATTTTTTGTAATATTATTTTAATGAGTAGATTACTTTTAATCTGTGACAATTATTCGGTTAATATATAGAGTTTTAGTAAATATTTCTATTGCTATTTAAGATGTAGAATTACATCTTTCAATATTCTTTTGATTATTGAGTGAAAGGACAATGGGAGGATGAATTTTATTTTAAAAAATTTTTCTCCGCAGAAAAATTTTCTATAGCGATTGTTTAAAAAATTGTAATACAAATTTTACCCTAGATTATGCGAATTTAATAAACAAGGAATATGTGCTTTCAATTTTCTTGACTACTTGTCTAAATAATGCCAATAAGCCATTGAATTGAATAGTTTTTTAATATATCCAATAATAGTATCCAATTTTGACTTGCGCAATATTTCCATTTGCAGTGGAGTTACGAAAATCCTACAAATGTTTAATAATTTTTCATTGTACTTTGCAGGGATTGGAATTCAACGAGCAACGTTCGCGTACAAGAATCGTGGCCAACGTGAGCGCCATTCATAACGAAAACTTCGAATATCTTCAGCGACTATGGGTCGCGTTTCTTAAACGATTCGCGCTGCGCGGTAAGAGTTTAATATTTTTTTTCAACCGTATACTTTCCAGTACTTGCTCTTATCCTTCATTACGCAATATGCTTTCATTATGTTTCAATGTAATAAAAGATTGTTCTTGAAAAGGAAAAGTGTAGAGTCAGGATTTTCATAACTGTCTATTAGGAGTAAAAGATTGCTTCACGACTGGATATTCAAGGCGAATAAACTATTGTAACAAACACTATATAAGCTGCTGCCTGCCTTCCTTCCTTAAAAGTCTGACAGATTTTTTCCACGACATTTGTTCGGCGAGACTCTTTTTCTCAACTTGTGAATAAGACGAAGTTTATCGAGACCGATGAGACTCGCCGATAAGTTCACCACTGCTCACCGTAATTTCCCATCTCGGTTAAGTCCATTTTTAACGAAATATAACGTTTCGTCCTGATTTGGGTTTCTTTTTGCATCTATCGAATGACGATCGTCATGGACCAATAAACTAGATAATCGAGCGCTCCCAAATGCAAAAGCCTTTTTGTTTCTCAATAAATTATTGTACTCGGGTGTATTCTCATAGATTAATGGCCTATTTATTAAGGATTGGCCGTTGTGTTGAAAAATTACTGCACTTGAATCGTTTAGATGATCGTTTGGAGAAAACTAACGAAAATGAAAAATAAGTCGTTTAATTTACCATTATCGCGCTTATGAATTATGATAATCTGGTAGATTTGTACTTTGCAGCAATACAGCAATACGATTTTCAATTTCTTTTCATAATTGCGGATTATTCTCAGGTTCAATTTCGGTTTAATATCGTGTGTCCTATTCAATTGAAAGACGAATGTTAGAAAAGGAACGATACAGTAGAGCAGTAAAGGCTGCTTTAACAAATTAAATGTAATACAATTGCTCAACTCAAGTTTTCTTAATTTAATTAAAATAAATTTACCTATTATTATTATCTTTCGATGCACATTATTTCCATTGAATATAAAGCATTCGACTCTAGACTCTTTATACACTCGATTATTATTTATATATTCATGATAACAGCGTAGCCTACAGTAACACTAATAACAGATACAAATTATAATGGACTTTTAATTGACAAATCTGATTAACTAATTGTTAAAATATTTTATAATACTTTATAAATGCACTAATTATAATAATAATATGCAATATATTATTTACAGTGGATTGATTCTGTTGAAGATTCGAATGAAATTTGTTGAATAATAATCCCCCCCCCCACCCCACCCACCCACCCACCCAATCACCCACCCCCCGAAACCACCCACAAATTTATATAAGAAATTCATAATAAAGTAAACAGTGAGTATTTAATATAGTGGTTATCTTATGTATTTCATGTTCTATCCAGTCACTTTGCCAATTTTACCAGACAATAATATCGACGCATAAAGAACCGTAAAAATAGAGACAAAAAGAAGTGGACGCGTCCTTAATTAACTTGCCTTCTGAATTAGACGCGCTTCTTGGTCGGCAAGATCCAAACGTTTAAGATAGTTAGGAACAGGAACATCAAAAATGAATAAAAAGTAGTTGATATTAAACGAAGCACCTTTTAACACAGATATGACACAATGACAGAATTAATTGCTATAAAAAAAAAAAAAAAAAAAAAATTGCATTTCTCAACAAATATTTTATAAGGTAAAGCATGCAGTATTTTATATTACAATATTTTTTAATAACAACGATATATCATGCGGGTAAATTGGACTTTTTAATATGTAGAAATTTTATTCTATTTTCTCATAATTGTACCCTTCAACGTGCAATGGTAGAAATAAGTGTATATGGCAGAATTCAAGATTTAATTGAAGAATTGAAGTATAAGTTTTTTTTACTGCATGATTATAATAATATTATTGGATAAATCATTATTGTACAGATGTCATAGGAATGAAATTAAAATGAGTGCAGGACAGAAAATTAATATATGACTGCCAAAAGCGTCAATTCAGGAGCGCTTACCACATCCTAATTAGACAAATTTAATCTTTAATTTATTTCCTATTAAATCGCTTCTGCCAGTCAAATTTATTCTAATAATACGTAGTAATTAATTTTCAATGAATTCTGCGGTAATCAAATTTACCGCAAACTAACATATAATTTTTAACGATTTGCGATGAATTTATTTATAAAAAATGTTTAATAATGTTCTTCTTTCAAAATTTCTCGGCCCAATATTTTAAACGTATGTATAAAAAAAAAAAAAGAAAAATTTTCTACATTTCTAAGCGTTCGTTTGTCGATCTTATTTCACTGCATTGCTACTAATCTTTTGAAAAATCATTCATTTTAATCATATATAGAAGATGTAAAATGTTTTCGTCTATGTAAGTCGCTTGCAATTACTTAATTACATAAATGCTGATAATAAAAGAATTTCGTGAATTATCGTAGTATTAATTAAAACAAAAAATTAAAATGATTTCTTCATAAAATGTATTAAATTATACGGCTCAAAATCAAGTACGCAGACAAATATACGTTTATCGTAATAAAAATATTTCAGTTGAATTTTAATGATTTTAAGGAGCTCGATCCGTCATTGAAAGTAAAATTTGCCAGCTCTGGTATTGATCTTGAAAAACTTTATGAAAACGAAGTAAGACATTTCGAGAGTACGAATTAGTGATAAAACTTGATTCTTTAATTAGAATATTAAAATATCTAAGGAATTTATATCGGGTTATCGAGGCTCAAAAACATTGGCTCGCAAGTTTAAAAATCAAAATTAATATTTGCCATGATGAAATAGAGAAATCGGTCATGGCAATGTGAGCAAGAAAATATTTCACTCACAAGCCCAGTGACCCAAAGTCCAACATAATCACATTCCACCTTTTATCTACATATTTTTCACGAAGAAGACTTAGAGGTCGCGGGATTTGCAAAGGACGAGTATTTATTATTTAAGAGCCTAACAAAATGCGGTCGAAAGTGTCCACGGCATTGCGCCAAGCTCGAAATCTCCTCGGCTGTGCCTCTCATCCCATTTCACTTCTCGTCGCCTCGCGGCAGCGCCGATACATACGGAATGCGCGCGGTCATCGCAGGCTCTGATTCAGCCCCCCCCCCCACACCCCCCCACCCCACCCTGGTTCGCGCGCGCCACCGCCGCCGCCGCCTCGATCGATCGATCGCTCCTCATTGCCAACCTTGAAACGAAATCTCCGGGGTAGGACGAGCCTTCGTACTCCGTCGTTACACGCGTACGACAGTTGCGGAATCTCGGAGTCGCGAGTCCACGCGCCTTTTCCAAGACGCGCTACACTCCGTTATTGCCCGCACCTCGTCAATTCTCTTTATTGGCGCTCCTCGAATTGTTCCGAGTGCCGAGAGGACGAGGAAAGAGAGGCAACCTCGATTCATACTGTGAACGCAAATGCATTAAATCCAACTCCAGCTCCAGTTGGATAAAATAATGAGTATTTCGGTGCTATGGATATGTCAAGTACGTCTGCTGTATTTATAAAAGTAAAGATTCGCCGCTTTTAGATTCCCATGTATTTAGTGTGCATGAAAAAGTCATGAATGGCCTTTGAATGGAAATTTGAATGGAAATTTGAAAAACTAATGCTTTAATAATTTATTGACAATCTGTGCAAAAAATTACAAAGTCCTGTAAAAATAGAAAATTATCTGATAGATAGGAATTTTAATAAGGAATAATGTATTACGAGACGGCGTGTTTTAGTAAGAGGACTATAAAATTTCAATTACAAGTAAACCTTCTATTCATCGGCTATTTCATAATTATAGCTTATAAAAATTTTAAATTGAAATTTGAACTTTTTCATCGAGTTAAGTTTTAAAAATTAATTAGATCTTTTGTTTAGACTCCCTTTCTTTGCGGAAATCACACTAGCGCAGATAAGAAATATCAATAATTTCGTATTGTTAGAGAAAGTAAACCGATTAAACTATCATTTCGTAAAAAGTGTCAATAGCTCTTATAGAACATTAGAAAATTATCATAAAAATTGCTGCTTAGAAAAGAAGATAGACATCGATAATCACGCTAATTTCATATTTAATTATGTTATCTTTAATAAAGAAATTATGAAGTAATTTATAGTTCCATATATATTATATTTAAATGGAAGCCGATAAAAAGGAATTAAAATTTTTAATTTATTTCAATGTTAGAATGGAGAGTGAGAGAGAAAGAGAGAGAGAGAGAGAGAGAGTCATGAAGTATACAAATATGTTTCCAATAAAGTGAGATAAGCGAATTTCAATTAGACAAAATGCTATTTACACATTCACTGGCATTCAAAGCTGAAAAACTCTGCCCTGTCGAAAAATTAAAAGTAATTTTCATTACTGATTGAATGCCCGTCCGCACCGCCATTATCCTTTACATTAATAGCACTGACTAAGTTTTTCATGATGTTTTTACGTCTGCGCGAGTCACTGTCTTCACCGACTCGGCCCCACTGCGTGTTTCACTCCATTTTACGCTGGCAATTTTACGGCCCCAGAAATGAGCGCCGATTATGCGACGATCGCGTAATACTTGCGTCGGTCGACTGTTTTCGTTACGATCGACTTGACTTTGTGCATTGAAGGCCGTCTCTCCGCACTCTGTAATACGTCCGTCTGCGTCATTTCCCTGCTTCGTGTGCGTACTTTGATGCGGGCCAATGATTTCCGAATCGTGTTATACACTTGGCTTTATGCTCAATGATGTATGTATTTAAGAATTTCGAGCATAACTTTAACATAAATTAAATTATGGATCCTTTTGACAACGCGTTAATAAACTGGCTAAACATTGCATGAAAAACATTCTTATTACAATTATTTGAATTATGCGTGGGAAAAGCATTTTATCATAAGGTCATAATTTTAGATTATCGTTACGCACCCGTAATATGTGCAGCGGGCAACTTTTAATTAATTTGTAACATAAAATGAAAAATGTAACACGATATCTACACCCGTCCATGTATTTGTAATTTAATTTAAAGCAAATATTAAAGTATATT